ATCTTAACATGCTATCAGAGTGATTACGGTCCTGGCCTGTGGGCCCACCTTACTGCTTCCGCTGCTACTCTGTGTTCGGCACGCCCCGTGGCGTGCCCCTTAACTTTCTCTTAGCGGCCCCGTTGCCGCCCTTTCAGGCCCCTCGCAGCCCCTTCACGGCCCCGTCGCCGCCCTTTCAAAGGCCCCTCGCAGCCCCTTTGCGGCCCCGTCGCCGCCCTTCCGCGGCCCCGTCACCGCCCTTTCAGCGGCCCCGTCGCCGCCCTTTCAGCGGCCCCGTCGTCGCCCGCCCTTCAACATGCCCCGTCGCCTGCCCTTTCAGCGGCCCCACCGCCACCCTTTCAGCGGCCCCGTCGCCCGCCCTTTCAACGGGCCCCGTCGCCGCCCTTTCAGCGGCCCGTCGCCGCCCTATCAGCGGCCCGTCGCCCGCCCTTTCAGCGGCCCCACCGCCGCCCTTCCAGCGGCCCGTCGCCCACCCTTTCAGCGGCCCCGTCGCCGCCCTTCCGCGGCCCAGTCGCCGCCTCCATCGGCTCCGTCGCCGCCACCAGCGGCCCCGTCGCCGCCACTTGCGGCCCCGACCCCGGCCCGGCCATGCTCCTTCGCCAACCGCGGCACACCGGGGGCACGTGCACCGCCCCCCCCCCCCCCCCCCCCCCCCCCTTTTCCCGTCACCTGTCGAGGCGACCTGAGGGGCGACCTGGAAGGGGGGGGCAGGCGTCGCCCCCTTTGCCGCCTGCTTTGGCGCCCGGGGAGGCCGTGCGTCGCCCCCCCCCCCCCCCCCCTCACCCCCCCCCCCCTTCCCCCTTCTCCTTCGTCTCCCTGCAGCTGCAGGGGGGAGGGTCTGGGGGTGGCGGGTGTGGGGGTGATGGGTGATGTGCTTCCCTTCCCCTCCTCCTTTCTTTCCCACTGCTGCAGCTGCCGCTGGGGGGAGGGTGTGAGGGTGTGGGGGAGCCGGGGGAGTGGCACTGGGGTGGCGGGTGTAAGACCAACCAGCAGTCGTCCCTCCACCTCTCCTCTCTTCCCCCCTCTGCTGCTCCTGCAGCAGTGTGGGGGGGAGGGGGAGGGGGAGGGTGAGGAGATGGAGGGGGTGACCAGCTTGAGCCAGCCCGCCTCCTCACTCTCCGTGCTGTCCCTCCTGTGGTTGGGGGGGAAGAGAGTAAGGGGGTGGCAGGAATCTCTTGCTGTCGCCTGTCCCTTTGCTGCTGTACCTGCTCTGTTACCATACCTGCTATTGCTGTTGCTTGTATACCCCTGCAGGTTGTGTTCTGCACAAACTCCTGCTGCACGCAGTTATGGGGGAGTGTTAGAATTTATATGTAACTGCCTGTAGCTGTAGTTTAGTATAGTTATTATAAACTGTTGGTGGTGCACCTTGCTTCCCTTTTTCATATTTGTACCCTTGAACCTATAGTGAAACCCTTATTCTCCTTCAAAATCCTCTCGATACTTTCCTTACCCTCGAACTCACTAGCCATGGCTCCTATGTCACGCTAGAATCTTAACAATAACTACTTTACTGTTGCTGTTGTGGTTCGATACAGTGACGACTCGGGCAACTGCTCTGTAGCGAGTCAATTGTGTGTCCTTGCTGTCGCGCTGTACTTGTCATGTCAAAGATCGCTGACCTTTGACTTTCGCGTAACCTCCAGCAGTTACTTCAACCTCCGAGGGTTGACTCGCTGGTGCCTCGATATGCTTTGCTTCGCTTGTGCCTTGGTGTTTCGACACGATAGAGGGGCTTAAGCTCTGTTGTTTCCAACACTCCCCTTCGCTTCTGGAGTGTCGCTGCTGGTGACGTGGCTCTGTCCAGTCAGCAGCATGTAGTACTCGAACTTCTACTTTCCGAGCTTCTTGGTCAGGTAGTCAGCTGCCATCTCGGACGTGGGGCAGTATGACAGCTCGAGCCTCCCTTTCTCGATCTCGTCCTTCACGAAGAAATATCGCAGGGCGATGTGTTTCGTCCTGTTCGCGTAGCCGTTCTTGTTGGCAATGCGAATTGCCAAATGGTTGTCGCAGAACAGAGTGAAGTTGGGTAACTGAGCTAGCTTCGCTTCTTCCAGCAGTTCGCGAAGGTTAAGTCCTTCCTTGGTGGCTGAACAGAGTGCAATATATTCTGCTTCAGCTGACAAGAGGGCGATTCATTCCTGTTTGCTCGACTGCCAAGAGATAGGTCCGATAGGTTTGAGGTGGTAAATGTAGCCGGTGCGAGAACGCATATTGTCGGAGTCGCCAGCGTGATCGGCGTCGGCGTAACCGATTAACTTAGGAGGCGTGGTTGCGTTCTTGTAGTAAGTTAGACCGATCGTCGGGGTGCTGACTAGGCAGTGAAGAGCGCGGTCGAGCTCAGCTAGATGTTCCGCTTCAGGCTTCTTGAGGTAGGTGGCGAGTTGACTTGCAAAGTACGATAGGTCCGGGCGACAGGTGACGGCTGCGAAAAGGAGGCATCCCAGTTTCCTCTGGTAGTCGCGAATGCCGGCGGGCTTAAGTAAAGTGGAGCTTCCCTTGCTGTTTCCTGTCGTGTAGTGGTACGGTGTGGAGATGGCGGTCGGTGTGAGTGCGAAGCGCTTGGTAATGGTGTTGGCGTATTTCGCGGCACTGAGGTAGATCGCGTCTTCCTCTTCTCGGATGTTGAGACTGAGGTACTGTGTGACGGTGGTTGAGACCGTGAGCGTGAGGTCTTTCTGTAGCTCCCCTTTGAACCAGGTTGTGATGCCGTCGGTCGAGCCGATGTAAAGTAGATCGTCTACGTAGACGATTAACAGGATGTAGTCAGTGTTCTTCGTGAGCCGGTATATCCCCTGATCATGCGGTAGTTGTTTGAAGCCGATTCGAATGAGGCGAGCGTGCAGGTATTGTTGCCATAGCCGCGGAGCTTGCTTGATGCCGTAGAGCAACTTCAGCAGCTGGCAGACTTGATTGGGCTCACCGTTGGAGCCGTGCGGCAACTCGACGAAGATTTTGGCGTCGACGGGTGCGTAAAGAAATGCGTTCGCGACGTCGATTTGTCGCAACTTCTTCTTCATGGCGGCGATCGCGAGGAGAATTCGCAGTGAGGTATGTCGGCTTACCGGAGCGAATGTCTCGGTGAAGTCGCATCCATGTTCTTGGTCGAAGCCACGTACGACCCAACGTGCTTTGAATTTGTCAATGGTGTCTTCTGCTTTTGTTTTCACTCGGAAAACCCACTTTCCGGTGAGAATCGTTTTGTTATGCGCCACACTAATGAGAACGACTTTCCAAGTGTTGCGCTCCTCTAGTGCCTTTAATTCCTTGTCCATGGCTTCGCGCCATTTTTCCTTATGCTCCCCCCCCAGAGCCTGCTGAACTGTGGCAGGCTCCTTGGGAATGGCTGTGCCGTGGACTGCGGTGACGAGCCCGAGCATATGGAGTCCACTCTGTGTGTAGCGGGGGAGTTACATGTCCGCGGGATAAACAGCTTCGTCTCCTGCTTCTGGATCAGGTGCGAAGTTGGGTCCTACACGTTCTGCTTCGTCGGTGTTGACTTGTGCAGGTGTAACGTAACCATTGTCAGCGAAGTGGTAGAAGGTTTCGGTGTTGATGCTTTCGCGTGGGTTTTCGTCGTCCATTGGCACGTCGACGGAGCAGTAGGGGAGGGGTCCGGCTTCTTCCGAGGCTCCTTCCACGTTCTGCTCGTCCCAGTCAGCTTCGTCTTCTACCGAAGCAAAGGCTTGGTCTCCACGAAAGCCACTTGTGAGGTCTCGGTTTTCGTCCAGGTTGGCAAGGTATGTCGGCAGTGTGAGTCGTTCATAGAAAACGGCATCACGTGCTGCCACTGTTTCTTTTGTCTCGACGTCGAAGATTTTCCATGCGTTGTAGTGTTTCTCGATGCCCAGGTGTAATCCCCACTGTACTCGTTGAGAGAATTGGCCGGCTCGTGCAGATGGGGGCCGGTACTGTACCATGCAGCCGAAGACCCTTAACATTTTTGTGCTGCCCAATTTTCCTGTCCACAGCAGGTGCGGTGATGCGTTGTTCGTGAGTGATGATGACGAGAGCAAGTTGTGTAGCATGACGGCGTGGTCCATTGCTTCGGGCCACGGGTGGTTGGGTAGCCGCATGCCACATAGCAGTTTCCCCATGGTGTTTTGGAGAGTCCTGTTCATCCTCTCTGCTACACCTTGCTGTTGATGGGCGTAGGGAAGGGAGATGAGCCGCTTGATTCCCCTTTCAGCCAAGAAATGCTTGAACCTCTGTGAGGTGTATTCACCTCCTCCGTCTGACTGAAGACTCTTTAGCTTGACGCCCGATTCTCTTTCCGCTACAGGGAGCCAGGCGACGAACGCTTCGAACGCCAGATCTTTGCTTGGAAGATTCAAGTGCCAAACGTAACGTGTCGCGGCGTCGATGAACGTGATGGTGTAATTGCACGCGTTCTGTCCCGGCTCGCGGTTGTACAGGATGTCGCTGTACACCTTCTCGAGTGGCGCGTATTGAAATAGTAGGCAGAAGTGATGGCTAGGGTTTTGTTAGGGCCTAGGCTTAGTAGCCTAGGCCAAGGAGGAACTTTAGGGTTGTGCCAAGAAGAAGAGAGAATGAGATGGTTTGACTATGGAAGAGCGGGTACAAATAGAAGAGAACCAGCAAGGAGTGGTGCACCACCACACAGAACACTAGGTAACTACTCTACAGCTAGAACTACATGCACTTATACAGACATATATATAAGATATATTCTGACACACCCCCTAAGTGCATGCAGGAATAGCCATTGAGCAGAACACCCCTAAAGTGGTACACCCTGTAAGGCGCAGCAAAAGTAGAGGCGAAGTGAGGAGGAGGGGAAGGAACTGTGAGAGGAGAGGAGATGGGAGGCGACGGTTGAAGCCGCAGACACACGGGAGACAGGACGGCAGCCTCCGCTCAACCTCCCCCAACTGTCCCACCCCCCTTTCACACACCCACTGCTGCACCCCTAGTTCCACTACCACGGCACCCCCCTAGCGCCACTCCCCTCGGCTCCCACACATCCACCCCCCTCAGCGTCAGCTGCAGCAATGGGAGACGGAGGAGGAGGAGGAGCAGGGGTCGGCTCACACACCCGCCACCCCCATACCCTGGGTGTGCGGTAAGCGAGTTCAGGTGTGCGCGAAGCGAGTTCAGGTGTGCGCGAAGCGAGCACAAGCGTGCGGGAAGCGAACTCGGTTGTGCGGAAAGCGAACTTGGGTGTGCGGGAAGGGGGCCGCAGGGCGACGTGCGGATCGACGGGGCCGCCGCGAAGGGCGACTAGCAGAGCAGAGCGCACAAGAGCACGGGCAGCGGCAGTGCGCACGAGGGCGCGGGCAGAGCAGAGCGCACGAGGGCGCGGGTGAGACAGAGCGCACGAGGGCACGGGCAGAGCAGGGCGCACAAGGGCGCGGGCAGCAACAGAGCACACGAGGGCGCGGGCAGCAGCAGAGCGCACGAGGGCGCGGGCAGCAGCAGGGCGCACGAGGGCGCGGGCAGCAGCAGGGCGCACGAGGGCGCGGGCAGCAGCAGGGCGCACGAGGGCGCGGGCAGAAGCAGGGCGCACGAGGGCGCGGGCAGCAGCAGGGCGCACGAGGGCACGGGCAGCAGCAGGGCGCACGAGGGCGCGGGAAGCAGCAGCGCGCACGAGGGCGCGGGCAGCAGCAGTGCGCACGAGGGCGCGGGCAGCAGGAGGGCGCACGAGGGCGCGGGCAGCAGCAGAGCGCACGAGGGCGCGGGCAGCAGCAGAGCGCACGAGGGCGCGTGCAGCAGCAGAGCGCACGAGGGCGCAGGGCGCACGAGGGCGCGGGCAGCAGCAGGGCGCACGAGGGCGCGGGCAGCAGCGGAGCGCACGAGGGCGCGCGCAGCAGCGGAGCGCACGAGGGCGCGCGCAGCAGCAGAGCGCACGAGGGCGCGGGCGAGACAGGGCGACTGCACGAGGGCAAGCGCGGACGGGACGGAGGCGGCTGCTGCAGGGGCGGCGTCGCGGGGTCCAAGGGCAGCTGCAGCAGCGAGAGACGGAGGAGGAGGAGGAGCAGGGGACCGCGCACACCCGCCAATCCCGTACCCGTCACCCCCATACCCTGAGTGTGCGGTAAGCGAGCTCAGGTGTGCGCGAAGCGTGCACAAGCGTGCGGGAAGCGAACTCAGGTGTGCATAGAGGGGGGGGGGCGCACGGTGACGCGCGGGCCGACTGGGACGGGCACACGGATCCCCGGGGGCGGCGCGCGGGTCTACGGGGCCGCCGCGAAGGGCGACGGGGAGCCGCACGCGGGTCAACGGGGACGGGCACACCAGTCGCTGAAGGCGGCGCGCGGGTCGACGGGGCCGCCGTGAAGGGCGACGGGGAGCCGCGCGCGGGTTGACGGGGCCGCCGCGAAGGGCGATGAGGAGCCGCGCGCAGGTCGACGGGGACGGGCGTGCGGGTCGACGGAACGCGAAACCGCCGCGTGCGCCTAGTGTGCGCGGTGGGCAGAAAACCGCCATGCGCCAGGAGCGCATGGCGGGAAGAAAAAAGCGTCGCGCGCCACGGGGCGCGCGACAGACAGGAATGCAGCGGAAGCTTTAGGTGGGCCCATAGGCCAAGAGCGTAACAACTCTGATTCCATGTTGAAATAGTAGGCAGAAGTGATGGCTAGGGTTTTGTTAGGGCCTAGGCTTAGTAGCCTAGGCCAAGGAGGAACTTTAGGGTTGTGCCAAGAAGAAGAGAGAATGAGATGGTTTGACTATGGAAGAGCAGGTACAAATAGAAGAGAACCAGCAAGGAGTGGTGCACCACCACACAGAACACTAGGTAACTACTCTACAGCTAGAACTACATGCACTTATACAGACATATATATAAGATATATTCTGACAGCGCGTAAGCTGGTGCGCTTGGGTTATGGTGAGACGCGAACGGTCTATGCGGTAAGTCAGCTTCAGGGCAGGTGAAGCACGTCCCACGTACTCGTTGAAGTTCTCTTCCATCGGTCAGTAGTAGTGAGTCCTTGTCGAGTACTCCTGCTCTTATCGTATTGTTTAATACTGTGTTGCTTGGGTGTCCCGTCCTTGCGTGCCAGGTGCTTTCGTCGGTGCTGTGAGAGTACGACGGCTTATGTCAGCTATGCTTGCTTGCCTTTACTTTATCATGCTATTTCTAGCATAAGATAATTATATGCATGCATGAATTGCTTGATTTCCTAGGCTAGGTGCTTTCCTATATTTTATTATAGTTATAGCACCGAGCTAGGTTGCGTGCACCGAATTCTGGGCTTTTCGGTTGCCACCGAATTGCCTTCTACCGAATTCGGTAAGGATCTGTTCGGGACGCTACGCGGCCCGCGGAACCTTCGCGTAACACCTGGTTACGGGGCCTTGTGTCGAGCCTATATATAGCCTCGTGTTGTACCCAGGTGATCATTCAATTCAATTCAATTACAATTCTCTTTTCTGAGCTCGATCCTAGATCCTCACAGGCGCGATGTCCGGGTGATCGTCGGTACAGGTCGGAGTTGGAGTAGAAGTTGGCGGTGAAGTTGGCGCTTTGATGAACTTCTCGTGGTGCCGGGTGTAGTTGCTGCACGGGTGTCGGTGGTGTTTCGTCGACGAGCGGCGCCGTTGAAGGACCAGCGATTGGTGTTGACGTTCCTGCTGCTGCCGTTGATGGTTCTGCTGCTGCCGATGTTGTCTCTGCTGCTGCCGATGTTGTCTCTGCTGCCGCCGATGTTGTCTCTGCTGTTGCCGATGTTGTCTCTGTTGCTGCTGATGTTGTTTGAATTGTTGCTAACGCCCTAGTTCTTTCTGCCTCAGGGATGGTGTGTGAGTACCAAAAGCCGCCGAGGCTGAAGTCTGGATCAAGATCTGGAGGGTGGGTCCAGGAAGTGAAGGTGACGATGCCGTCGCTGTCTGCTGTGCCTAGATCTGGAACAAAATCAAGAACAAAGACGTTATTTTTCAGGACCGCCTTTCCGATGTAAAGGCCTCCTCTCCCGTGGTACAGCTTGAATTCTTGAGTGGTGCTGTGTGCTTCGAGATGGATGCCCTTCGCCATCAGCTGGCTGACGCTGAGTAAGTTATATCCAAGTCCTTCTGCTATCAGAACCTTTCACATCTGTAGTATCACGTTTGTTTCTCGTGGCTGAAGTTGAACCACTCCTTGTCGTCGTGTGCGCAGGTTCTGGTTGTTGGCGACGGTAATGACTATTTCGCGTTGGAGTTGGTATTCCTACTGCACGAAGCGTCTTGAAGAACACATGTGTTGTCTGCAGCAACTGTCTAAGAACCAGGTGTCTTTCCCGGATGGCTCGCTCTGGGCGATGGCTGCGTATGTTGGATTCAGTTGAAGTGACTCGCGGCGAGGTGTGGTGTTGTCGAGTTGTTCTTCCGGTGAGTAGTGCGGCGGTGTCTCGGTGATGCAGGAATCGGTCAATTTTGCCATGCAGCTGACGATTTTCCTTACTCCTTGTGCAGGTGATGTTGTTGACGGTTGCGACTAACTCGTGGGTTTCGCCTGCGTCGATGCCACTTGGCTGCTTGAGGGTCAAAGCTGCCGTTGCGCTGGAGTTGACTGTTGTCAATTCGGGCAATGCGTGCGCGGGTGCCCTGACGTTTTGTAGATGTGGCAGAATGGAGGTACGGGCTTCGGTTGTTGTTGTTTGTAGTTGTTGTAGCGTCGCTGAGTGTGGAATGCAAATTCCGGTGCTGATATCTTCTTCTTGTGTCGTTCTTCTTGCAGGTCCATCTCTTGCTACTCGGCATGGATTTCGGCGCAGAGTGCTGCTTCGGAGATTCTTCCGTGGGCTCGGAGAATGGCCATTGTGGCGCGCCATTGAGGACCGAGGCCGCAAATGATGACTATCACGAAGGCGTCTTCAAAAATCGACCCCCCCACATCGAAGAAGCTTGTCGCGCAACTCGCAACATCGGCTGATATACGCCATTCATTTCTCGTCTGGTTTCATTTCGACCGTTGTCAGTTGCGCCATTAATCGACTTTGATTTACGCTGTCTGTTGCTTGATACAAGCTCTTCAAGTGGTTGTACGCGAGCTCCGCGGAGTTGCCGTAACCTCGGTAAGACCGTATATTCTGCTGTTGAGTTGGGGTGATGTTCCTTAGTAGAATCGTGTACGCCATCATCGACTGATAGGTGTACTGCTGCTTCTCATACTGTGTGCCGTTTGTTGGGTATGGCAGGGACCCATCGAAGAAGCCAAGTATCTGCGCGCCTTCCATTATCAACTCGAATTCGAACGACCAGGTGAAGAAATCCTTTCCATCGAAAGGTTTTGACGTCTGCATTTTCAGAACGTGCGCGAACTGCGACTGAACTTGTAATGCGTCCAGTGACTTTTCTTGTCCAGGTGAAGGCTGCGGGTGTGGCATAAAGCTGATGGACCCGCGCTCGTACGGAGCAAAGGTAGGCTGCTGCTGTTCATTTCCCCGTGCGTATGATGAGCCGTCGAGACTCATGGGAGTTGCTCCGTTGTTGTTGCTATTGTGTGACTGCACAGGTGCCGATTGTTGATGTTGCTCGTAAAACGACATGAAGGAGAAGAATTTCTCCATCATGCTCTAGTCGAAGTCTGCAGGTTGATTCGCAGGAGTCTCGGTGGATGTTGCCCTGGGTCTTGTTGCCGTACCCTCCTCTATCTGTAGGCCAGAGGCAGAAGGTGGAGTAGGAGTAGTGCCCTGGGAGCCACTGGAGGAGCTCCTTTCCTTTTGTGTAGCCATGCTTGTTGATGCTGTCGGTATTTTAATAGTAGTTGAATTCTCCCTGACAGCTCTCATACCATGTTGGGCTGAGAAAAGCCCTTAGGATCTTTACAAGGATGAACTCTGGGTAGGACTGATGTAATAGCGGAAGCGTTTAATGAAGAATTGTGAACCACCTTGCGCTAGTATGTGAGGGCAAAGTAGATTGATTAAAGCAAGGAGATACAAGATTATTTAGGAGTACAAGGAATACGAAGAGATACAGTTATAACTACTTTACTGTTGCTGTTGCGGTTCGATACAGTGACGACTCGGGCAAATGCTCTGTAGCGAGTCAGTTGTGTGTCCTTGTTGTCGCGCTGTACTTGTCAGGTCAAAGATCGCTGACCTTTGACTTTCGCGTAACCTCCAGCAGTTACTTCAACCTCCGAGGGTTGACTCGCTGGTGCCTCGATATGCTTTGCTTCGCTTGTGCCTTGGTGTTTCGACACGACAGAGGCGCTTAAGCTCTGTTGTTTCCAACAAAAACCACATTCCCATTGGTGCCGATCAGTATGTCTAGAAAAACAACATCGTATCGTAACGTACAGTTATTATTCACCAAAAAGCGGTGTAGATTTGACGCTGTTGCCGGGACTCGCGGTTCTTTTTCGCCCTTGAATCATAGGGCTGTCTATGCCTGTACCACTCCCGATACTACTAGTGCAAACGCCACTGGTGGTAGCACTGGTGGTGGGAGTGGTGGTGCTGCTGAGATGAGTGTAGGAGGAGGGTGAGGAGGAGTTGGAGTGAAGGATAGGTGCAATGGTTCGGTTGTGGTGCGAGGGGGGCACCACCAGGGTTCCACCTGCAGTGGTTGCAAGGGAAGAAGGGGATGCGGAAGGAAGGTGAGCGAGATGAAGCAGGCAGAGGAGAGATAGTGAAGGGGGTTATGGAAGAGGCAGGGGAGCATATTAAGGGGGTCAAGGGGGTTGAAGGGCCTGGTTGTGGTGCGAGGCAGGCACCATCAGTGTTGCACCTGCAGGGGTCGAGAGGTAGAAGGGGTGGGGAGGAATGTAGGGTAAACTAGATGACGCATGCAAGGAGGGGATAGTGACAAGGGGTGAGGAGGAGGTGGAGAGGAGGATGGGTGGTTGTGGTGAGAGGGAGGAAGCACCAGCGTTGCACCGGCAGAGAACAGATAGAGCATGGAAGTGAATTGGAAAAGAAAATTTAGGAAGCTGAAATTGTGCAGGAAGGGGAAGGGTGGCAGCAGTGGAGAGTGAAGGGTGAGTGAAGCAGGATGGAAAACCAGAGGATGGAAAACCAGAGGATGGAAAACCAGAGGATGGAAAACCAGAGGATGGAAAACCAGAGGATGGAAAACCAGAGGATGGAAAACCAGAGGATGGAAAACCAGAGGATGGAAAACCAGAGGATGGAAAACCAGAGGATGGAAAACCAGAGGATGGGTTGAATGGTCTGGTTTCAGTGAGATGGAGGCACGAGCAGGGTTGCAATGGCAGGAGATTATAGAGCGTGGAAGATGGGGGGGACTGGGATACATGGTAGCGCTTGCAGAGGTTGCAAGGGAAGGGATTGGGAGTGCGGATATGGGCGAGTGAGGTTACCATGAGCCCATAAGGCAGCGGCAGGCAGCAGCACGGCAGTGAATATCCCCATGCTGATGCGCCAGTTGCCCACTATGTCCTGTGCGCATGGGATGGATGGAGGACGGAAACGAGGCAGAGGACGGTTGGGAGGAGGTGGGAAAGGGTTGTGAGGAGGCATGGGAGGGTTGGGATAGTAAGAGCAGCAGCAGGCGTGATAGGTTGGCAACGTCATTTGACGTTTTTTTTTTCTCACACACCGTGCATGGGAAGGCTGGTGGGAGAGGGGACAATTAATCGCGGAATACCACACGACAGGGTGAGAGAAGGAAGGCGAGAGGGGAAGGTTGAGAGAAGGAGGGCGAGATGAGGTTGCGGGTGCGTACCTGAAGAAACACCTTAAGGAGAAATGTGGATGGTGGCACCTGAAAAAACACCTGCTGATACACCTGAGGGAGAAAGGCACCTGGAGGAGGCCGAGGATGGGTGGCGAGGGTACGTCCCCCAGCAGGTGAGCAACGACGGTTGCAGCGGCTATTGCGAGGGCTCTGAGGTTGGATGGCACGCACTGCAGTGACACTATGTTGGCTGGTCCCTGGTGGTGAGGGAGGGGGCATGGAGAGACAAGGGACACTACAAGATGAGACAAGAGACACTATGACAAAAGAGACATGGCCACGATAGCAGCGGCTATTGCGAGGGCTCTAGGTTGGATGGCACACACTGCAGTGACACTATGTTGGCTGGACCCTGGCGGATGTTGGAATGGGGTTTGGGAAATAAAAGAGTGAGCAGTCTGGCTGGCAGGTTCCATGGTATGCTTGCTGCTTCATGCTGCAGACTTTTGAGTCGACTCAAAAGTCACCATGGCATGCTTGCTGCTTCATGCTGCTGCCATCAAACCTGCAAACAGCCTTGCTCATGAGCAAACAGCAAGGAGAGCGAAGAGAAGAGAACGGTAAAGGGAGAGGCGAACTGGCTGGTTTCTTCCCACCTTTTGTGATTACCAGCTGTGTGGTCACCAGCAGTACCTGGATGGCAAAGATGAAGCACTCCCTGAGAAACATGCAGAGCACAAAGTGAGCGATTTGGGGAGAGGCGAAGGCAAGGACTAACTCACTGGTTACCACTTAGTTACCAGCTCTGTGTGTGGTTACCATCTGGTTACAAGCAGTACCTGGATGGCAAAGATGAAAAGCTCCCCGAGAGTCACGAAGAGGGTGAGGGGGGTGAGGCGAAGGCAATGACGACCAACTCACTGGTTACCAGCTGGTTACCACCTGGTTACCGTCTGTACCTGGATAGCGAAAATGAAGAACTCCCCGAGAGCCATGAAGAGGACAAAGAGAAGGATGTGTGGCGAGGCAAAGGCGAGGAGGCAGAAAATAGCTCCCACAACTGTCACCCGGGATTGCAGCTGCAGGGTGGGGAAGAGGACACATGGGAAGGGTGACAAAGAGCAAGAAGAGAGAAAGAGATGGCTGTCCTGTCACTGCAGTGCATGCATGCGTACCATGTGAGGCCCCACCTACCTTACATGCACACATACATGCATGTGTGCATGCATACAAACATGCAGTGTGTTTAAAAATAGCTGCACCGCACCCATACAATCGAGCATGGGACCACCAAACAGCGTGCCGCCCACTCCGGTCACCAGCAGAATGACTGGATACCAGCAGAATCCAACTTAGGTGCACACATGCATGGCATGAGACATGCATGGTATGAGACATGCATGGTATGAGACATGCATGGTATGAAGATCCATGCGAAAAGCATACCAGCAGCGCGTTGGGGATGGTGGCACCCATGCGGTCCAACATAAGGCCGCCAAACAGCGTGCCGCCCACGCCAGTGACCACCGTGATGCCTCCAAACAGTGCATCCGCCCTCTCCTCATTAAAGATCTCTTTCATCGCCTTGGGCGCCCAGTACGCATACGCGCCAATCACGAATGTATAGGCCGCATAGCCTGGGGTTTAGTGGATGGAAGTGGCGGACAGAGAGGAAAGGAGGAGGGCAAGGGAGGTCGGAGTTTCAGTGAGGTGCCTCCCCCACCCAAACAGTGCATCCGCCCTCTCCTTATGAAAGATCTCCCTCATCGCCTTGGGCGCCCAGTAGGCATAGGCACTGATTACGAATGTATAGGCCGCATAACCTGGGGCGAGGGAAGAAGAAAGGGGAGTGGAAGCAAGGCCGGATTGTGAGTGAGGTGCTCTCCCCTCCAATGTGCGTCTGCTCTCTCCTTGTGGAATATCTCCCTCATTGCCTTGGGCGCCAAGGAGGCATATGCACCAATCACAAAGGTGTATGCCGCATAGTTTGGGGGTTTGCGAGGGGAGGGGGAGGGGATACGGACAGGAGAGACGGGGGAATGGAGGCTACTTAACACAAGCTGGGCATGCAGCACCCAACACACCTAACTCGCTCCGTACCGAACTGCACCGCACAAAACCCATTGTACCGAGAACATTGATGGTGAAGATCTTGTTGCGAGCGGGAGAAAGCGAGTCATCCAGCAAAGACCCGTCGTCATGCTTCAACTGCAGCGATCACAGGCTCAGCATGCAGCACCCAACCCAAGCACACCTTCTGTAACTCGTGCTGTACCACATTGCACCGCACAACACCCATCGTACCGAGGACATTGATGGTGAAAATCTCGTTGCGAGCAAGAGAAAGCGAGTCGTCTATCAGAGACCCATCACCATGCTTCAACTGCGTAGTCGCCTCAACCTGTGACGACGTTGCCAGCGATGGCGCCCCTTCTGCCCTCTCCTCATCATCATCAGCAAGAGCAGCAGAAGCTGTAACAGAGGCGTGCGCCCTGCCTGCCCATAATCCAGGAAAGCGGCATGGAAAAACAGAGACCCCTCGTCACGCTTGGACTACGGAGTTGCCTCAACATGTGAGGATGCTGCCAGCGATGGTGCTCCCTCCGCCCTCTCCTCATCATCTGCAGCAGCAGCCAAACCATGGCCATGCGTCCTGCCTGCCATAGAACACGGCACTGGAAACAATGGTGTTTTGAGACGTCTCAAGACGCCATGGCCATGCGGAGTGCACCTGCCTGCCATGCACATTGCAACGGAAATCAGCACTTGCCATGGGATACACCTCCCCTGGATACACCCAGCTAACAGTCTATCAGGGGAGGAGGGGCAGCAGTAGCAGAGTAACCACAAATGGCAGCATGAAAACGGCTTCCAATACGAGCGCCCCTCACCACCCGAGCAGCGGGGGAGGCAGCAAGGAAGCAGGGGGTTATTTTTGAGAGGTGGAGGGGCGGCAGTAGCAGTGTAGAGCACAAACGGCAGCATGAACAGAGCTTCGAGTAGAAAAGCTCCTCTCCACCCGAGCAGAGGAGCCACCCCTCCGTAAAGGTAGCCGAGGGCAAAGCCGACCGGAATGCAGAGGCGGGAGAGAGAGATAGAGAGCAGGGTAAGCAGCAGAAGGGGAGCACGGGAGAAAGAGGTTACCTTTGAGGGGCGGAGGGGCGGCAGGAGCAGTGTAGAGCACAAACGGCAGCATGAACAGAGCTTCCAGCAGAAACGCTCCCCTCCACCCCAGCAGCGAGCCAGCCACCCCCCCGTAGAGGTAGCTGAGGGCAAAGCCGACCGGAATGCAGAGGTAGAAGGTGGGGTGGCAAGGAGTGAGGCGAGAGAGGGAGCAAGGGAAGCGAGAAGGGGAAAAGGAAGCAGAACAGGATTACCTTTGAGGGGCGGAGGGGCAGCAGTAGCGGTGTAGACCACAAACGGCAGCATGAAAAGGGCTTCCAATAAGAATGCTCCTCGCCACCCGAGAAGGGGGCCAGCCACCCCCCCGTAGAGGTAGCCGAGGGCAAAGCCGACCGGGATGCAGAGGTAGAAGGTGGCAAGCCATTGTGCTGTCTTCCCCGGAGGAGCGTTGTCGTCTATGAAGGGCGCTGCCAGACTGATGAAGGACGCCTCCCCAACACCAACAAGCCTGTTGCATGATGGGCGAGAGGAAGGGAAAGGAAAAGGGAAAGGGAAAGTGAAAGGAGAAGATATTAATAGGTCAGCCACACCTCTGTATGTAGAGGTAGCCGAGGGCAAACCCGATTGGGATGCAGAGGTAGAAGGTGGTGGTAGAGGCGTAGCTGCTGCCGTGCTCGCATCGTATACCACCTTCAGATGCAACCCTAGCAGGAGTAACAGCAGCTGCAGCACGAGAACCGGCAGAGGATGCTAGAGGAGAACCGAGCTCGAACACCCTCACCAGTTCACCTCCCTCATGTACTCCGCCCGCACTCCCTATGGTGCGACACATTTCCATTTCCCCCTCCTCGCTTTCAGCACTTGTAGCTGGCACTCGACTTTCAAACCCCGCCTGCTCTAAGTCAAGAATCAGAACGCGTCGACCAGGTGTTCTTCTCCCACGCCCCTCCTGTCCGCCATCCCACCCACTATCCAGCCTCATCGGCTCCCTATTCCTCTCTGCCTGCTCCCCCAGCCCCTCCAACTCGCGCGACATCTTCTCGATCTTCCTCGCCTGTTGCCTGCACTCTCTGTTGGACTCCTGCAGCGCACTCTGCAACCTCTCCATGGATGTCTCTCGCTCCTCCAACATGCCTCTTGCAACTTGCAGCTGGCGCTCCAACTGCAAGACCGTTGAGTTGGGGCCTTTGATGGTCTGCACAATAGGATTGACATTTACTTCCCTGAAAGTGTCAAACCTATTGTGCAGACCATCAAAGGCCTCAAATCAACAGTCTTGCAGTTGGAGCGCCAGCTGCAAGTCACAGGGGGCATGCTGGAGGAGCAGGAGACAGCCATGGAGAGGTTGCAGAGTGCGCTGCAAGAGTCCAACAGAGAGTGCAGGCAACAGGCGAGGAAGATCGAAAAGATATCACGTGCTGGAGGGGCTGGGGGAGCAGGTGGAGAGGAAGAGGGAGCAGATGAGGCTGGATAGTGGGCGGGATGGCAGACAGGAGGGGCGTCGGAACAGAACCCCTGCTCGACGCGTTCTGATTTCTGATTTTAAACAGACAGGGTTTGAAAGCCGAGTGCCAGATACGAGTGCTGACAGCGGGGAGGGGGGAATGGAGATGTGTGGCACCAGAGGGAGTGCGGGCGGAGTACATGAGGGAGGTGAACTGGTGAGGGTGTTCGAGCTCGATTCTCCCCTAGCATCTTCTGCCGGTTCTCGTGCTGCAGCTGCTGTTACTCCTGCTGGGGTTGCATCTGAAGGTGGTATACGATGCGACCACAGCAGCAGCTACGCCTCTACCGCCACCTACAGCCACCTACGCTTCAGCACTAGAAAGAGCAGAAGGGGATGGGAGCGCGGGAGCACTAGAGAGAGCAGAAGGGGATGGGAACACGGGAGCAGTAGAGAGAGCAGAAGGGGAGGAGACCAGACGAGATGGAATGGAAAGGGAGAAGGGTGGAAGGTATAATAGCATGCGACAGAGGAGGAGGAGAAAGGGGTTGCGACGATCGGAGGCATAGTCAAAGAGAGGCGAGGTGGTGAGAAGCGAGCAAGGAGGAAGTGGAGGGGAGAAACGGGTAGGTAGGAAGAGAGTGCGGGAGAGACGAAGAGGACGAGAGGCGAGGAGAGCACTCACATGCGGCAGAGAAGCAGAGACAGCAGGCCGGGGGACAGGCCGCAACCCACCACAGCAAGCGTCCAGACGAGGAGGCCGAGGGCAATGAGGCGGAAGGGGTTGTGGCGCTTGGAGGCATGTGCGAAGAGAGGCGAGGCGGTGAGCAACCCGACTAGGAAGGCCGTGGCCAGTAGCCCGTCCTGGAAGTTGGTGAGAGCAAAGTCTCCCCTGGTTTGGAGGGGTTCAGAGGGGTTGGATGTGGTTGGAATAAGTTCAACACTGATTAGGGAAGGGGGGTTGTGGCGCTTGGATGCATGCGCGAAGAGAGGCGATGCGGTGAGGAGACCCGCTAGGAAGGCCGTGGCTAGTAGGCCATCCTGGAAGTTGGAGAGAGCGAAGTCTCCCCTGGTTTAAAGGGGTTGAGAGGGGTTGAGTGTGCTTGGGATAAGCTATAGAACGTTCGGATAAATCACAACACAAGCACTCTCGCAAAGAAGGCTGTGGTGGGCGGAAGGGGTTGTGGCGCTTGGAGGCATGCGCGAAGAGAGGCGAGGCAGTGAGAAGGCGGCTAGGAAGGCGTGGCTAGTAGGCCATCCTGGAAGTTGGAGAGAGCAAAGTCTCCCCTGGATTTTAAAAAATGGGGGTGGAGGGGAAAAGAGGGAGGAGATATGCATCGATCAACGAGGCGGTGGGAAGCCGTGTGAGGAATGCCATGGGGAATAGTCTGAGAACTTAGGCTTAGAAGCGATGCATTAGTAATGAGCTTGAAGCTCTTTAAATACATCCAAGAAGGGGAGGGAATGGATGGGGAAGGGAATCGGGGGCAATCCTAGGGATTGGGGGTAATCCCAAGGCAATCTCCAATTGGTGGGTTGGAGATTGCTTGGAGATTACATTTGGGTTTGGTTGGGATGTAGGTGTACACCCAACCAAACACAATGTGCAAACTACACTACTCTAGAAAATACAAAGTACAAAGTGTGAGATTGAAGGCTAACACTAACACCCCCCCATAGGCGTCAATCGAACTCATGGTAGAGAGGGCGGTGCACAGAGCCCCATGGCGCCTAGGAGACGGTGGTGGGGAACTTTCCCAAGGGGCTTGGTGAACAGATCAGCCAGATTGCAGTCAGATGCAACGTATTCCACTTTCAGCTGCTCCTGTTGGACAAGGTCACGGATGAAGAAGTGCCGAAGTTCAATATGCTTGGTGCGGGTGTGATACACAGGATCTTGAGAGATGTGGATGGTACTCTGGTTGTCACACCAGAGGGTGGGGGCAGACTGTGGGAAACCAAGCTCTTGGAGTAGGAAGGTGAGCCAACGGGCCTCCTGAGCAGCCATGGTGCCTGCGTAGAGCTCTGCCTCACAGGAGGAGAGGGAGACTGCAGACGACCTGGTGGAACGCCAACTGACAATTCCGCTCCCAAGGGTAAAGCAGTACCCCCGAGAGGAGCGTCGGTGGGTCTGGTCATCAGCCCAGGAGGAGTCGGTGTAACCTTCCAGGCGAGGAGGGGAGAGCCCACCGAGTTTGAGAACATGAGACTTGGTGCCCTGAAGATAGCGCAGCACCCGCTTCGCCGCCTTCCAGTGAAGATCAGTGAAGCGTCCAGGGGCCACGTAGCGAGAGAGGACACTGACAGGATAGGCCAAGTCCGGTTGGGTGCACATCATGGCATACATGAGGGACCCAACAAGCTCCGGGTATGGCTCAGAGCAGGCCTCTGGTGTGGGTACAGCTAGAGCCGTGAGGAGGTGTTCCAACGGCAGCGGGGTGGCAACGGGTGTGCACAGCTCCATCTCAAACCGCTTGAGCACATTGTCGATGTAGAACTCCTGGGAGAGTGAAATGGTGCGAGCCTGGCGATCACGAGTGATCTCCATCCCCAGGTAGCGCTTGAGGTCACCGAGGTCTTTCATCTGGAGGGCCTTGCTTAAGGCTGCCTGGATAGAGGTCATCTGGACCGAGTCCTTGGCAACGAGGATGAAGTCATCCACGTAGACCAGGATGTAGAATGGCTCAGAATGACGGCGGATGAAGAGAGTCGGGTCAGCAGATGAAGGGTGGAAGTCCAGGGAGAGGAGGACTTCTTTCACCTTGTTGTGCCATTCGCGAGGGCCTTGCTTAAGGCCGTAGACGGGGCGATTCAGCTTCCAGACAGTGTTGGGAGGGAACTCTCCTGAAAAGCCTTCAGGTCTGTCCATGAACACTGTCTCTATGAGACGTCCTTGTAGGAAGGCGGATGAAGCATCCATGGATTTGATCTCAAAGTCTTCTCGAGCTGCGACATCCATGAGCGTACGAATGGTGGGAGGTTTGGATGTGGGGGAGAAGGTTAGGAAGAAGTCGCGGTACTGCTGCTGGGTGAAGCCCTTCGCTACGTAACGCGCTTTGAACACCGGGGCCTCGTCTGGGAGCTGTTTTACACGGAACAACCACTTGCCCCCGACGATGTTGACTCCTGGAGGTGGAGTCTCGTCGTCGAAGGAGTGGTTGCGGGTGAATGCTGCAATCTCCGCTTCCATGGCAGCACGCCATTCGGCAGCATGAGGGCTTGAGAGAGCCTCTTGGACGGTGAGAGGGATAGGGATGGTCAGGTTCTCCGCGAAGTTGAGGGAGGGTGAGTCAGTGATGTCGGAGAAGATGTGCTAGAGCTGAGGAATGACTGCATGAAGATCACACAGCTCCTCATGCCTGTCTTCCGGAAGGGTAGAGGGCACATCCCCCCCAGCAGAGGAGGTGGTGTGATCGCCGTGTATCGAAGAACCAGCGCTAGTGGAAGAGCCGCGCCATGCGAACGAGTGCCATGAGCCACCGGAGAAGAGGGTGGGGCAGGCGGTGTCGAAGGGGTTGACTTAGGAGGCTTGGGCGGGGGAATGGGCCGCCGGTGGTATGTGATCAGCTCGGGCGACTGTGGGAGAACGGGTTCCTCTGTGGTGGGGGAAACCGGGGGAGGAGGTGGGGCCGGAGGGTGGGACCGCCGATGGTAGGTGATAGGTGCGCTCGGAGGTGGCTGCATAGTCGGCGGAGTGGGAAGTGAGGGGATGGAGGAGCAGCTGCCGAAGACACCGGTGAGGGCGGGTCAGAGACCGCAGAGGGGGACGGTGCGATGGCAGGAGGGGTAGGGGGTGAAGGGGCCGGAGCAGGCGAGAGGTCAGGAGGCGCATCAAAGTCTGCCCACACGAGGGAGGGTGGGTCAGGGAGAGGGTCCCGTCCCGAAGTGGAGTAGAATGTGCAGGTCTCATCAAAGACAACGTCGCGGCTCCGGACCAACTGCTGAGTGGAGGGATTGAGGAAGGGGTAGTCAGGCGAGTCGGCGTTGTGCCCGAGGTAGATGCATGCCTGGGTCTTGGGACCGAGCTTGCCGCTTTGCTGCCGTCGAGCCTGAGGGTTGAGGAGGACATAGGCGGTGCACCCCCAAACGCGAAGAGAGCAAGCAGTGGGCGTTTTCCCGAGCCAGAGTGTGGTTGGAGTGGTGTCGGGAAGATGCGGGTGGGGGTAAAGGTTGAAGAGGAGAGCGGCGTGGTAGAGAGCGTACCCCCAGAGAGAGTGTGGAGCGTTGGAGTGGCTGAGGAGGCACCGAGTGATCTGCACTAGGGTGTGGTTGCGGCTCTCAGCTATGCCGTTCTGCTGCGGGCTGTCAGGGAGGGTGAAGTTTTGCTGGATGCCTTCTGAAGAGCAGAAGGCTTTGAGCTTGTCGTTGCAAAACTCACCACCACCATCTGAGTGGAGGCGCTTGACTTTGCGGTCAAAGGCGGTCTGTGCCTGTTTAACCCACGCCATGAGAACCTCTGGAACCGCAGCCTTAGTGTGGAGGAGGTGAACAGAGACGTAGCGAGAGTGGTCATCGACGATAACAAGGAAGTAGCGATAACCACCTCGTGCGGGAACAGGGGCAGAGCCCCAGACGTCCCGGTGTACCAGGTCCAGTGGTGCTGCTGCGACAGAGGGTGAGGCCGGGTGGGGCTGTTGACGCAGTTTGCTCTTGGTGCAGTCAAGGCACGTGGGAGCGAGGGAGTCTGGTGGTGGAGGAAGTGAGGCTGGCAGGCCGAGTAGAAGTTTCTTGGAGGCCATGTCAGCAAGTGTGCGGAAGTTTGGGTGCCCGAGCCAATGGTGGTAGAGTAAAGTCGGGTTGGAGAAACTGCGGCACGAGCATGGTGAGGTAGTCGCCGCAGTTTGGGTGGTTGACACCTGTGCGATGGGTACTTGCAGCGTGTAAAGGCCGCTGCTGTTGAGGGTGAAACGAGTCAAGACCTTGTTGATGAGTGGGTCGAGGATATCACCATAGTTCTCGTTCTCCCAGAAATGGTGCGTAGCCCAGCTTCCTGAATTTCCGTTTGGGCCACGAGATTGTGGCGGAGTCAAGGCACGCACATTCCAGTGACAGTGCCGGAAGGGAAGGCGGGGTACGGGACTGTGGATGAACCCTTGGCATAAGTGGTGAAGCTTGAGTCAGCTCCTAGGAGAGGGATGGGTGTTGCGTAGGGTTTGAAGGAGAGTGTCTCCTTGGGTACAGTGTGTATGGCCCCACTGTCGAGTGTGAACTCAATGTATTGTGGTGTTTGTGATGAGCCGAGGTGCTGGGAGGAAGCTTCATTAATCATGGCAGTGCCAAGGAACAACAGGTTGATACGCACATCAGCAGGAGCACTATCACTAGCACTAGCCGAAGCGGGGTCCTGGACCTCAACCAGGTTGGCCTTACGCGCACGCATCCAGTTCAGTGGCCTCTTGTCTATGCCGTGGATGGCGTACCATTTGTCGTTCTTCTTCTTAAAGCACGTAGCAAGGGGGTGGTTAGTGCCACCACACACTTGTCCCTTGCGGTTGCCATACTTGACGACGTAGGTGCAAGGTGGGAAGCGGTTGCGCTGGAGGAGCGCCGATGCAAGGGTCGATGCGACACTGGCTTGAGGCATGGGAGCACGGATGGCGTAAGCTTTGGCCTGAGCCGTGGAGTCTTTCTCAGCAGAGAGGAGTGCGGTGGAGACCTTGGCAAAAGTGAGGTCTTCCGCAGTCAACGTGAGGAGCATCTTCCTTGTGATTTCATAGGTTGTGATGAGACCAACGAGAAGAGTTGCTGCAGGGGCCTGTTCGGGGAAGACTATACCCAGCTCCTTGAGTTCGCCATGAATGGTCTGAACCTTAGCAATGTAGTCGGCCATTCCCGAGCGATCCTCAAGGCGGACCTGGAACATGCTGGGGATGAGGATGGCAACTCCGACTGCAGTCTTGTTCATGAACCGATCCTTGAGATACTTCCAGATGGCGTTGGAGGTAGGGTAGTTATGGAACGTGTTGACAAGTTCTGGAGAGGTGGAGGCGATGAAGACGCTGATAATTGCAGCATCGGCCTTCTCCCACTTCCGGTACTTCTCAACGTCTTCCTCATATGCCTTTGTGTTAGCCTCACTAGCGGATTCGGTCGGCTCGCGAGGGAGAAGGGGCTGTTTTCCCTTGCCACGGTTGAGGAGGACATCCTTGAGGTCCAATCCCTGCACGTCACGGCTCAGCAGGTGCTTGTCAACCCCATAGCTCCATGCCTTGAAGTTGGAGCTAGAGCCATCGGCGTCAAGACGGAGTGGGGTGATGGGGTTGGCCATGGTGGACGAGGCGAATGCCATGATGGAGACCCCTTAGGATGTCGCGCGGAGTGCCGCTCTTGAGTCAACGATAGGAACTTGAGGTTTGGGGTTTCCGAAGGAGATTTTGAAGAACGGGAGGTTTAGGGTTTACGAAAGAGAATTTTGAGGTTTAGGGTTTTTGAAGGAGAATTCGACTGAAACGCCAATTTAGTGTCAACTACCTACTAATCCTATTCCCACACACCCCCCCACACACCACCCTCAGCTTCTCGACTGCGCTGCTGCTCCGCTTCGCGGCTACACGACTGCTTGGCTTCGCGGCTACGCTGCTGCTCGGCTGCGCTGCTGCACCTGTTCAGCTGCGGGAAAGGGAGGGGGATGGGGGTAGGAGTGCAGATGCGGAGCGACGGGCGGCAGCCCGAAGGTGAAGCTGCAGGGCGACGGGCGGCGGCCCGACGAGAGGCTGCAGGGCGACGGGCGACAGCCCGACGAGGAGAAGGAATGACGCGATGATGTTCGACGAAAACGAGCGATAGGTGAAAGCGCGGGCGATGCGCTTACCAGTGAGATAGTAGATGCCGTCGAGAGTGACGGGAAAGTGGTGCGGAAGAATTTCCGCCCATGAATGTCGCGAATCAACGGCGACGAGATTGAAGGCGGTTACGCCGAGGTTTGCGGGACGAACATCCGCAGAGATAAGAGGATCACGATCCGCGTGTGCGGTTTGAAGGGCTCTGATACCATTTGAGAACTTAGGCTTAGAAGCGATGCATTAGTAATGAGCTTGAAGCTCTTTTAATACATCCAAGAAGGGGAGGGAATGGATGGGGAAGGGAATCGGGGGCAATCCTAGGGATTGGGGGTAATCCCAAGGCAATCTCCAATTGGTGGGTTGGAGATTGCTTGGAGATTACATTTGGGTTTGGTTGGGATGTAGGTGTACACCCAACCAAACACAATGTGCAAATTACTCTACTCTAGAAAATACAAAGTACAAAGTGTGAGATTGAAGGCTAACACTAACAAGTAGACCAACCTGGAGGTTGGAGAGAAGTGTTTCATTGAAGTGGGGGTACATACCCAACTAAACCTACTGTGGCGGAAATCTGATCGGAATTGACTGCCCCTACCACTCACTGAATGCCGCTGCCAGCATCGCAGACGTCCCCCTGGCAGTGCGATGGAGAGCCGTTGATTCCGTTGCTGGCAATGGCACCTCGATCAATGTAGTTGACCATGTTGATGGCGCAGAAGAGAAGTAAGAGGCTGGGGTGATGGGGGAGGGGAATGGGGGGATAAGAAGAAACAGCAGGTGCCATTAACCCTCTTGCTGCTGGCGATGGCCCCCTGGTCGATGTAGTTGACCATGTTGATGGCGCAGAAGCAGGCTGGAGAGAAGGAGGGTGGAGCAGGGTAGAGGGGAGTGGAGAGTGGTAGTGTTACTGGCCCTCTTGCTGCTGGCGATGGCCCCTCGATCAATGTAGTTGACCATGTTGATGGCGCAGAAGAGCAGCAAGAGGCTGGAGCGGAGAGTAGTAAGGGCAGCAAGAGGGAGCGAGTGTTGAGAGCGGATGATATGATTCTCTGCAGTGTTGAGCGGCCACACCACACTCTACGCAAAACAACTTTCCAATATAACATCCGCATGCTAACGAACCGATGTTTAAGTTGACTTCTCAGCAATGTGAGCGGCCACCACACGCTCTACGCACTTGACACACTGAGGGGAGGTGGAATTGACACGTGGAAATTGGCTATTGGTCTTTCGAGGCTGAAAAAAGCAGCCTCTTAAACCAGGTCGGCCGCTCACGCCAGCAGTGCCTTTTAAAGACGTTTCAGAAGTCCTATTCCGCTCCCACCGCTCACGCCAGCCAGCAGCGAGGTGGCCTTTGAGGCGACTCGACTCAGCGAACTGGCTATTGGTCGCTCAAGATTCGGAACAAGTTGGAGCTCGGTGGAGCTCTTGTCAACCCGCCTGCTGAGCCGGACCCACCGGTCACGCCAGCAGCACCGCGGCAATCGCGGCGCCCCACCTCTCGGCGCTGCAGCCACGTGGCTGTTGGCGGGGCGCGGCAGAAGCATGGTAAACGCCGTCGCCGTCGCCGCTTCCGCCGCCGTCGCCGCGATCGGCCGGAGGGGGCGGAACGATGGGTTCCGACTCGTCCATTCCCGGCTCGGCTCGGCGCGGAGCGACGGGCTTCGCACGGACTCCACTCGAACGGTACCTTCTTGGCAGTTAGGTGTAATTTTATTTCAACGAATTTCGACTAGAAAGAAGGTCGGGCGACCCGTTGGGGACAGCCACTAAGGGAGCGCGCGCTGACGGCGAACGGCTGAGATCGTCGGTGGTGCGAGGAGTATCTGGAAACCGTCGATGCACCTACGTGAGTTTACTGGCAGCAGAGTGAGCGTCTAGGCGAGCGGCAATGGCGGCTAACTTGGAAATGGCAGTCACGTGCCGCCTTGTTGAATGTCAGGTTCAGTGTGAATCATACTCTATAAGACGAAACTGTGATAACGAGACGAATGGCTTCCAGCAATATATCGAGTAAGCAGTTCTTTGTTGATGTTGTTTATTTGGATTGGTCTACTTCTCATTTACTAAGCGCCCAACCAAGATAAATATGCTATACAATTCAAGTATACTAACAAAGGCAAATTGAGCAGACCAAAATTCAGATATTCATTCCTAAGCCACCAAACTTCAAGATCACTCCACCTCCAACCAACCAAATTGCTCCTTTTCTTCCTCCATACACGGGAAGCACCAATTCAGATCCTGGTACTTACCCCACCTTTGGTCTCCTAAAACCCAGTCTAATGCTCCATATGAAGAGCATGCAACCAAGAAAAGGTGATGTGATGGGGATCTACTTAGAGAGGCACCAGAATATGGTTGCCTCACAATCGCACGACAACACAGTGCCCCCCCAGCCCACGCTAATGATAAAAGGGAAAAATATATGCATAGGAGAGCACTCCAGGCCCGCCCGGCCTACTGGTCCCTAAAGCGGGCACAAAAAAGCGGCATTAAAAATGCATCACACAACACCACCGCAGATCAGCCTAATGGTCTCTAAAGCGTGAGGGACCGAAGGAAGGTGCGAGCATCTGGAAGAGTCCATCTGGGTTGTCGGTGTGGACCTGGTGGGATGGAGATGGGGATACGGAAGAAACTCTTTGAGAGGGTATGCAAGGACTTGCTATCACACAGCGTGAGGGATTGAAGGAATTAGCAAGGATCTGTATCAAGCCACACTACCTTGGCCGTGCCCCACTGAACACGCCAACCATGCTTCTCAAAGGTTCAGAAACTTCTCTCAAACACCTATCAGAAGCTTAAGAACACCTAGGAACCCCCTCTTCACCGGGCTGCACTGCACTCACCCAGTGCCCGGCGTCTTCCAGCACGTCCATCCTCACAGCAGCGCCATGCCCATTGCCTCCTGCTCTGCTCCCACTATCCTCCGAATGTCCCATTGCCCGCATGAACAATGCCTCTGAAACACCTAGAAATCCCTCTGAAACTCCTCTCAGACGCTTTAAAATGCCTACGAACCCCTCTCCACCGCACTGCACTCACCCAGTGCCCAGCGTCTTCCAGCACGTGCATCCTCACAGCAGCGCCATGCCCCATTGCCTCCTGCTCCGCTCCCACTATCCGCCGAATGTCATCCCGTGCCCACCGGTGCAGCGACCTCTCAGCCCGCAGGAAGTTGATGTGCACTCCCTCTGGCACGTCCTCCACTAGATGCCTGGGAGGGTTGATTAAAAGACATTCCAGCAAGCAGGAGTTAAAGGGAAAAGTTTTAGCAAAGGAGAAAACAGTTGTAGAGAAATCCTAGCTAGTTTACGTAGAATTCAGGAAAGTCGAAGCTCTTCAGTAAGCAGTGGCTAAAACACGGACAACGAGGAAGTTGATGTGCACCCCCTCAGGCACGTCCTCCACAAGATGCCAGGAGGGATGTAAGAGAGGGGGAGGTAAGATAGGTGCCACCGCAGAGCATCGTTCAGCACCGCTCTGCCCACAGGAAGTTGATGTGCACTCCCTCTGGCACGTCCTCCATTAGATGCCTGAAAGGGGTGGGAGACAGAAAGGCCGCACTGCACCGTTCAGCACCGCTTTGCTCAAAGGAAGTTGATATGCACGCCGGCTGGAATGTCCTCTACTAGGTGCTTGGGGGAAGGGGAGAGTTCCGTAGTAGATAGTCACCGCACAGCACCACTCAGCACCGCTCTGCTCCAAGGAAGTTGATGAGCACCCCCTCTGGCACGTCCTTTACCAGGTGCCTGGGGGAGGGGAGGTGTGTGTCGGGATACTGGGTAGAGTACAGTCCCGCACACCACAGCACACCGTACCACATCCCACCCCACCAACCATACATGCTCCCTCAGCTAACCACAGTTGGTGGTTTCATACGACGAGTACATCTGAGAAATCCCTTCTAGATCAAACTCCCACCTATAAGCCGCCTGCCCCCGGCTCACAACTCCACCCCACCCCACCCCACCACACCACGCACCACACCACACTACACCACACCGCACCGCACCGCACCACGGAACATAAGCTCTGTTCTGCTCACCACAGGTTGGTGGTCTCATACGAGGAGTACATCTGAGCAATCCCCTCCAGATCAAACGCCCACCCATACGCCGCCTGCCCCCAGCTCCACACACCGCACCACACCACACCGCATGGCACCGCACCACACCCCACTGCACTGCACTGCACTGCATCACACCGCACATTGCCTAAGCTCACCACAGGTTGGTGGTCTCATACGAGGAGTACATCTGAGAAATCCCCTCCAGGTCAAAAGTCCACCCATATGCCGCCTGCCCCCTGCTCGCCGCCCTCGCCGCCTCCTCATGCAGGTGCTGCTGTGAAGGAGGCAGGTCCTGAAGCAGGCCTAGTGAGGGCAGGTGCGTCTTGGACAGGTTGGTGGTCATCCACTGCGCGATGGGCTTGGAGAAGCCTTGTGAGAGGAGAGAGCTCACCACCTCGCTGCGATCCAATATCTGGGCGGAAAGCAGTATGGAGTGGAAGGGGAGCAGGAGCAGGGTGGTGAGGTTGGTAGTCATCCACTGCGCGATGGGCTTGGAATGAGTAGTGGGGGAGGGAGGTTTGGGGTGAGCAGCAAGGGGGGGCAGCATGGGGCCATAAACAAGGGATCAATGTGGGAGGGCGGTTGAGGGCGGGAGTAGTGTGCAAGGTAGCGAGAAAAGTTTAGATACTAGAAACATCCCAAGGGTTTCTACTGAAGATTTCTACAAATAAAGTACTGAAACAAAGCCTTACCAGTGGCGGCATGCCTCTGAGTGCGTCGATCAGGTCAGCAGGATGATCCTCCCCGTCGCCCCCTGCCCTCACTTTGCCCGGTGTAGCGTCCAACACCCACACCTGAGTGAGGAGGGGAGAGGGAAGAGGGTTGGTGATGGTGAGGGGGAGAGGTGAGTGGCGAGTCAGTATGAAAATGCCTGAGAAAAACACAAATACACTTGTGGTTCTCAAAGGAAAAGCAAGTGCAGTTCTGGTTCTCAAAGAGTTGACAGCTAAGTTGACTTTTGGGTCGAGCGTGGGTTCTAACACCCGTACTTGAGCAGAGGAGAGACGGGGAGAGAGCTGCAGAGAGGGGCGCAGCGTGCAAATACCTTGATAGCGCTGGGCATGGGCTTGGCTGCTTGGTCTATCATGCTTAAAGCCACTGTGTGGTTTGATAAGGGGGAGAAGAATAGAGAGGAAAGCAGGAGAGGAGGGGAGGAGGGTGAGAATGGGAGGGGAGGGATTGAGCGCATGGGCTTGGCTGCTTAGTGTATCATGCTTAAAGCCCCTGTGTGGTTCGATATGAGGGGGAAGATTGGAGGGGTAGAGGTAGGGGCAGGAGAGAAGAGAGGTGAGAGGAGGAGAGGGGACAGGGAGGGCACTGGGCATGGGCTTTCTGCATGGTCTATCATGCTTAAAGCCATTGTAAGAGTTGCTGGGGAACGTCAGAGGGTGGCTTGAGAGGAGGCTTGAAATGGATGGCATCTCTCGGGAACGAGGGGAAGAAGGAGAGATGGGGAGACGGGGAAGAAGGGGAGATGGAGAAGAAGAGGAGATGGGGAAGAAGGGGAGATGGAGAAGAAGAGGAGATGGGGAAGAAGGGGAGATGGAGAAGAAGAGGAGATGGGGAAGAAGGGGAGACGGGGAGACGGGGAGACGGGGAGACGGGGAGACGGGGACAGGGGGAGCCGAGGGGGCGTGTGGAGAAGAATAGGGCAACAGACGAGCATGCAAAAAGGAAGCCAGATAGAATAGCACCACAAGGGAAAGTAACAGAGGGGGGGGAGAGGGGGGGAGGGGGTTGGGTTGGGGTGGGGAGAGCAGTATGCAGGGAAAGTGGGTAAAGGGGAGTCAGAATAAAAGTCTATTTATGGGGGAGAAAAGTCGAATGGCAATTTAGAAAAGGTGTTGGATGAGCTTATAAAGAGGATGACGAGGTTCATTAGAAGTGAGTGTACCTTTGCCGCCGAAACTGTGGCCAATGAGAATGCGGGGAGTGATGCGGAGACAACCCATCTGAGGAGAGAGGGGAAAGGGGACGAGGGGAGGGCAGAGGGAAGAGGAGAGGGAAGGTGAGGTGGGATAAGGGAAGGGAGAGGAGGGGAGCGAAGAGGAGAAAGAGATGAGAATTCGGGGAGTGATGCACAGGAAAACCATCTGAGATGAGAGGGGACGGGGAGAGGATAGAGGAGAGGGGAGGAAAGATGAGAGGATAGAGGAGAGGGGGGGCGAAGGGGAGGCAAGTAGAAGATGATGAGAATGCCGGGAGTGATGTGCAGAGGGCACATCCGCGAGACAAGGGGAGGAGAGCAAACAGAGGTAGGTACTCACCAGGTGCAGCACGTCCTTGGCTGCAGAGTGCACTGAATGTGGCCCCAGGTGCTTCGATGCTGCTGTGGACGCCCCGTGGCAACGCAGATCCACACACAGGAACTGGAGGAGGCGGTAGGGAGGGGAAAGGGGAGTGGGAGCGGAGTTTGGAGGGGGAAGGAGCAAGGCATGGCCGAGAGATGCTGCTGTGGAGGCGCCGTGGCATCGCAGGTCGACACACAGGAAGTGGAAGAGGGGGGGGGGGAGGGGAAAGGGGAGTGGGAGGGGAGATTTGAGGGGTCGGAGTGAGGCATGGTCGAGAGATGCTGCTGTGGAGGCGCCGTGGCATCGCAGGTCGACACACAGGAAGTGGAAGAGGGGGGGGGGGAGGGGAAAGGGGAGTGGGAGGGGAGATTTGAGGGGACGGAGTGAGGCATGGTCGAGAGATGCTGCTGTGGAGGCGCCGTGGCATCGCAGGTCGACACACAGGAAGTGGAAGAGGGGAGGGGGGGGTGAAGGGAGGAGAGTGGTTACAGGGTGAGGAAACACGGACAGGAACGGATGGGAAAGGGGCTGGAATTGCAGTGGCTGGTGTGGTGTCTTTATGCTGCTGTGGACGCCCCGTGGCAGCCCAGGTCCATGCTCAGGAAGTGGGGGGGTGTAGAAGAAGGAGAAGAGATTGGGTACAGGGTGGAGGGAGCAAGGACAGGAAGATAAGGGGAAGGCATGGTTGAGAGATGCTGCTGTGGAGGCCCCGTGGCAGCGCAGGTCCATGCACAGGAAGTGGAGGGGATGGTGAGGAGATGGCGGGTGATTACAGGGTGGAGGGAGCAAAAACAGGAAGGGAAGGGAAAGGAGCTGGAGTTGCTTTGCGATGCTGCTGTGAAGGCCCGGTGGCTTCGCAGGTCGACACACATGAACTGAAAGAGGAATGGGTTTTGGCAGATTTTGGGGGGGGGGTGCGAGATTTGGTGGTGGTGGAGGCGAAAGGAACAAGGCGTGATTGAGAGAAATGGTGCTGGAGTTGGAGGGGGGAAGGGAGGGGCAGAGAAGGCCAAACGTGCACTCACATGCACGCACACACTTACGCACATGGGCACATGGGCACATGGGCACTTGGGCACTTGGGCACTTGGGCACTTGCCTGCCAGGTGGGGAAATATTTAGCTGCTTCCTGACGAAACGAGCCTCAGTTCTTGCCGCTGCCTGGAATGCCGTGAATGGATGAGCACTGCTGTGGGGGGAGGAGGCTAATGCCGCCCCTCCCCTCACTGCACACACCAATCCGACAAGGACACATGCACCCACCTGCCAGGCGGGGAACTCTGTAGCAAGCCTTCTGGCAAAGGAGCCCCAGTTCTTGCCACTGCCCAGGATGCCGTGAATGAGCACTGCTGTGGGGGGAGGGGGCTGGCGGCGAGTGCGGTCCTCCGACCAACGCACCTGATGGGTGGGTGGGGAGGGGGGAGAGGGAGAGGAAAGAAGGAGAGCGAGAGGGAGAGGGAGAGGGAGGAAAAAAGGGAGGGGCGTGATGCCGTGGATAGATGAGCACTGCTGTGGGGGGCGAGGGCTGGCTGGCGGCGAGAGCGGTCCTCCGACCAACACATGAGAGGAGGGTTTTTGAGTCGACTCAAAAGTTTTTGAGTTTTGAGTCGACTCAAAAGTCAACTCGGCTGGCTGGCGGCGAGAGCAGTCCTCCGACCAACACATGAGAGGAGGGGAGGGGGAGGAGGGAGGACAGAAGGAACGGAGAGCGAGAGGGAGAGGGAGGGGGAGGGGGAGGACAGAAGGAGGGGTGGGACGCTGTGGTCGGGAGCAGCTAGCGGCATGTGTGGTCCGGGGAGGGAGACGGTGGGGGGAGTGGGGGAATACCTTTGAGTTCTCAAAAGTAACACCATCGGGGGAGGGAGAAAGTGGGGGAGTGGGGGAATGACAAGCTCGAGTTTCTTGAATTGGAACGAGCTTGGAGGAGTGGAGGGACCCATTCCTGATGGCTTTTGAGTCGACTCAAAAGTCATCTGGAACGAGCTTGGAGGAGTGGAGGGACTTGTTCTCACAAAACGGTTGAACGAGACAGGTGGGTGGGCGAACAACAAATGAGAGAGGAGAGGAAAGGAGGAAAGGAAAAGGGGAGAGAGGAGATGAAATGAGGAGAGGTAAGGGAGGACGAGAGGTAAGGGAGGAGGAGAGGAAGGAAAGGAGGAGAGGTAAGGGAGGAGGAGAGGAAAAGGGAGAAAGGAAGAGTGCTCACCAGTGCGCCTTGCACGAGCTCGTATGACTGGACGGACGGAGGGAGGTGCGGCACACACAGTTGGCCCGGGCGATTTGATGTGGGTGGTTGGGTTGGGGGGAGAGTGGGGAGTGGAGGGGGAGTGAGAGATAAGTGAGGTGGGGCCAGAGCGTGAAAAGATGAGGCTGAACATGAGTGCATGATGTTTGGATGGCTCGGAAATAGGGTACAGCAGCAAGCAGCATCTCAATCTGATCGTTTTTTAGAATGATAACAAAACGACCTACAGAAAGAAAGCAGCAAGCAGCGTCTCACTCGGAAGCAGAGTACAGCGGTAAGTGAAGTCTCCACCTGGACCAACCCGGAGGAAACGTGTGCCTGTCTGTCACAAGTCTCGAAACAAGTTTCCAAGGAAACATGTGAACCACCACGGCACATAACACCGCACCGTGCCAAACCTCGTGCAACCGTGTCAGAAGCGTTCGACATTTCGATGCTTGCTCCTCCCAAACCACTCAATCCAACGCGTGCCTTTTGCTCCCCTCCCCTCCTCTTGCTCCCTTTCCCCACCCCTCCCCTTTTCCTCCCCTTCCCCTCCCCGCCCCTCCCCTTCCCTCTCCCCCCCTCCCGTCGCCCTCTCTCTCCCATCTCTCTCGCCTCCCCCCTCCCCTCCCCTCTCCCTTCCCTCCCCCTCCCTCCCTTCCCCTCCCCCTCCTTCCCCTTCCTCCCCCGCTCACCTGCCCCCAGCAACCACGCCACTCACCAGCTCAGCTACGGGACTCGGCCCTCCTGAGCCCGGGAATCCACCTTCCCCCCTGCCTTCCTCCCCCGCTTCCCCTTTCCCCGACTCTCCCTCGCTCGCACCCGCTCTCCCCCGCTCCCCCGCCCCGCTTTCCCCCTTCCCCCAGAGACCACTGCACTCACCAGCTCAGCCACCGGACTCGGCCCCGCCCTCACCCTACCTTCCGTTCCCTCCCCCTCCCTCCCCCTCCCTCCCTCTCCCTCCCCTTCCCTCCCTCTCCCTCCCTCTCCCTCCCTCTCCCTCCCCCTCCCTCCCCCTCCCTCCCTCTCCCTCCCCCTCCCTCCCCCTCCCTCCCTCTCCCTCCCTCTCCCTCCCCCTCCCTCCCCCACTACCCCACCCCCCCAGAGACCACTGCACTCACCAGCTCAGCCACCGGACTCGGCCCCGCGCTGGCCGCATGTCCGTCCAAAGCTTGCCCCACCTCGCCGCCCAGCAGCACCTCCCGCATCTCCTCCACCGACGGCTCCCGCGCTCTCCGTTGCCGATCGTACGGCGGAGACGAAACGAACTCGAAACGCGGCCCGACAACTGTCTCCGTCGCACCGCCGTCAGGCGCAGCGGCGGCGGCGGCCTGCCTGCCCCTGCCGATGCCTTTCGCGCCGGGAGCGGAAAAAACGCGGGGCGGAGGCGGCGGAGGCTGCGGAGGAGGCGACGGAGGAGGAGGCGGAAGAGGCGGAGGAGGGTGGAGGGGAGGAGTGAGGAGGGGAAATCGGAGACGAAGGAGAGTGAGGGGAGGGGTCGGTGAGAGACGCTTGAGTTGGGGCGAATTTGACTATGCGAATGCCGTTGACGATTCTGGTGGTGATGGTGGTGGTGCAGCTGCTGCTGCTACCGAGTCTTATGTGAGTGTTGGAATTAGGGGCGGCGGGAGATGCTAGCAGGGGGAACCGAGGGAGGGCGTTTCGGCGTGTGACTGTGCCGGAATGGGACTGTAAGCGAGGAAAAGGAGGGAAGGAGGGAGGTCAAACGCAGAGAACAATACAGGGAGGAACACGGTCGAAAGTATTGAAACCAAGTGGCAGGAAGAAATCTCAACGGTAGGGAGGAAGGTAGGCGAGAAGGGAAGGGGAGGAGGGAAGGAGAGAACAGTAGTGGAGGAGGGAAGGAGAACAGTAGTGGGGGACAGGAGGCGGGACGCACCGCTAAGCGCGTGACACCCTTTGAGAGCGACGCAGACGATGATGCGGCGCGGGGATGAGAGATGTCAAGCCCGGCGGGGGAGCGCGGCGGGGTGTGGAGGGATCGCGACAAGCCGGCCATCTTGGAGACAGACATGGCGGCGTGACGACGGGCGACGCGGGCGAAATTCGCGATTTCGGAGCGTGAAAACGTCGCAACGTCGACGCGTGTGGAAGTCCGCAGATTCGATGCGAGAGTTCGTCACAAACTAAAACGCACACGGCTCGAGTAACGTGCACGGATGATCGTACGTTGGCGAAAAGGACGTCACAATGGAAACGCGAGAGCCGTTGGATACGATCAGCAGGAATGCTGGAAAAAAAAGCGGTAGAAGAAAGCCGCAGGTGAGCGTTAAGGATGTGAGTTACTCTTCGACCTGTCAGTTTCTCTCGAGAGACAACTGCACCATTCTCCAAGTGAACAGAAGGTCGGGAGGGGGGTGCCTTGTGGTTGGGTGGGGTGGGGTGGGGTACGGAGACTCGCAGCACGCACCTGAGGAACTCGACTCGAGGGATGGATGGAGGGTGTACAGAATACAGATCAGCCATGCAGGCAAGTTGTGGTCGTCGTGACTCCCCAGATTTGCTCGTTGCACTCGCTTCGCGACACAGAGCTTTGCTGTTTGTGGCCGTCGATTCTGTCAGAGCTGTCGCCAATAGAATGAGATGGTGTTCACGAGGCATATACGAAAGTAACAAAGTTCGTCAACCCTGAACAAGGATCACAATCTCGATGTTCTGTGTTCGACGCGGTTCGAGGCCACCTTTGCTGGCTGGCGAAGCGAGTGACGATTGGCGAACTGGCCTCGCACAGATTCCGGAAATGGACGGAGAGTTGACCCTCGTTCACTGTCTCGACTCTCCATCGAGTGGAACTGAACACACACGTGTACTCCAAGGCAGAGCACTGAAACCGTTCCGCGAACACCTGGTCAATTCACCACCATCCAATACATTTTCAGCATCTAGCAGGGTTTTAGGATGACGTGGAAAACCACATCCAACCACGGAAAAGTCTCGATACAGCTAAACTTCGTCTCACCTGCACGTGTGAGACTGCATGTGTCGAGTCAGTTTGGAAGGAACCCGAGAGAATTTCTCCAGACCCCGAAACGGTGAATTGCCGTTGCAAACCTCGCCTCGAATTGCTCGAGTGGTCTTGCCAGAGGTTTCCTCTGGCATTTTTTTAATCCGGCTCATTACCCAAAACCGGTTTTTAGCCCTGAAATTCTTACGTCGAACGTGTCTCTTCCCGCGAAAGTGTGGCATACCCGGAAAGACGTGCACGAGGGCGACAACGTCACTATTCGGATACGCGACAAAAATCAGCACACTCATCTAGGCAAACAGTTGCGCTCAATTTCGGTCCATATCGTAACCAATCCGCGCATAGTTATATGATTCCACGATCATATATTCCGTTGGACGGATGTCAGTACGCGCGACCAATTACAGAGTGCGCCTGATTGGTCGAATTTATGCGCGGGGCCTTTTCTGACCTTGCGCGTCCAATCAGACGCGGTCATGTAAGATCGCGCTCATATAAAACCGCATATTTACCTATATGAGCGCGCATATGTGATGCTCGAATTGTCAGAATGCTATATAGCTTATACATTTGTGTAGGCTATAGTGGGGTATGTGGAAACAAAGAACGAGAATGAATGACTATGAAGTGAAGTGAATACAAATAGGAAACCCTAATGTGTTGTACCCCCTATGGGATACCCCACTATAGCCTACACAAACAAGTAAGCTATATGTTCTGACACACCCCCATAGGCAAAGTGGGGGAGAACAAGGGGTCACAAGACCAGTCAAGCAAAGCAAAGCAAAGCTCAGGGTGGATCACAAAGTCACCACGCATTCCGAGCACAAGTTCAAAGGCCACAAGGCCAGTTCACATGCAAGATCATATATAGAGATATACAAGAGCAAGAGTATATATATGCGAAGGTACAAGCAAGGTCAAGAGGAGAGCAAGTGAGGCAAGACAGGCACAAGACCCAACTGCGTGCAGCAACGCTGATGATCACAAGGCGCAAGTGCCTTGGTGAAGACATCAGCAGTGTTGGCCTCAGAGGCCACGTACGCAAGTCGCAGCTGTCCACGCTGCTGTAGCTCACGAGCAAGAAAGTAGCGAAGAGCAATGTGCTTCGTTCTGTGCTCCAGTCGCTGCTCTCGACACAAGGCCAGCATGGCCTTGTTGTCTACGTACAGGACTGGAGGAGAACGAGGCTGCTCTCCAAGGTCGGTCAGCAGGTAGGTGAGCCAGCGTAACTCCTGTGCAGCCATAGCCCCAGCGTAGATCTCAGCCTCACAACTGGAGCCGAGAACAGAAGACGAGCGGGTAGCCCGCCACGAGACAGAGCCGGAACCAAGGCTGAAGGTGTAACCCTGTGACGACCGCTGCGTAGCCTGGTCGTCAGCCCAAGAAGCGTCTGCGTGCCCAGTGAGGACCACTGGACTGCGCCCTCCAAGCACTAGCCCCATGCCCGACGTACTGCACAAGTAGCGCAACACCCTCTTCGCTGCAGCCATATGCTCTGGTCGGTGTCTCCCAGGAGCAACAAAGCGTGCGAGAATGCTAAGAGGGTATGCGAGGTCAGGTCGTGTGCAGGTCATCAGGTACATGAGGCAGCCAACAAGCTCTGCAAACGGGCCACTCGACTCTACGGACTCATCCGAAGGCAGAGCTGAGAGCGAGTGGCGAGTAGGCAGGGGAGTGGCCTGAGGCAAGGAGTACGTGAAGCCGAAGCGCTGAAGGACCTGCTGCACCATGTGTGACTGAGTCAGGGTAATGGTGCGGCGTGCTCTGTCCCGGGTGATCTGCAAGCCAAGGTAGCTGCGCAGTTCACCCAGGTCAGTGCACGTGTGTCTCTTCTGCAGCTCGGACTTCACGTAGGCGAGTCCAGCAGTGTCAGCTGTGGCAAAGACCAAGTCGTCGACGTACACGAGGATGTAGAACGGCGGCAGAGAGGTGTCGGTGCGCAGAAACAGCGACGGGTCGGCAGTGGAAGGAGCAAACCCAAGTGCCGCGAGCGTAGTCCTCAGTGTGTCGTGCCACTCACGTGGCGCCTGGCGGAGACCGTAGACTGGACGCCGGAGACTCCACTGGGTACCAGGAGGGAAAGACCCAGTGAAGCCAGGTGGGCGACGCAGCCAGATCTCCTCGTGCTGGCTGCCCTGCAAGAAAGCTGTGCTGAAGTCGAGAGAGTGGAGCTCGTAGTCACGGTGAGCAGCAACGTGCAGCAGAACCCGAAGAGTGGTCATCTTCGGGGTGGGGGAGAAGGTCTGAAAGTAGTCAACCCCCTGCCGCTGACTGAAGCCACGAGCCACGTAACGCGCCTTGAAGACAGGCGGAGAACCCGGCGGCCGCTTCACCCTGAAAATCCACATGCCACTGACGATGTTCGCCCCAGGAGGGGGAACAGCGTCAACGTAGGTGCCTGTGGACTTCCAGGAAGCCATCTCTGCATCCATAGCTGCCTGCCACTGAGAGGAGTAGGGACCCTCTATCGCCTCCGCGTAAGAGCGCGGAGTCGGGATGTCTGGTGCATCCGGGTCTCCCTCAGGGGCTAGCAGTACAGACGCGAGACGAGGTGAAGCGGCGGCCAGACACTGGAACTCCTCCTGCCTGTCCTCAAGGACGTCCGTGCCAAGGGCACACTCACCCCCGACGGACGGAGGACAGACAGACTCAGACTCAGTGAGAAGACGAGTAGCGTAGTCTAGACGACAGCGCGCAGCAAAGTCGACAAGCTCAGTCACAAGGGCAGACGCAGCAGACGACTCGAAGGAAGGGTCAGTGACAGCAGTAGCAAGGAGACGCGTGACAGTAGGACTGGCAGCACGAAGAGAGTCCGACTCCGGGTCGGCAAGAGCAGGAAGAGAGGAAGCAGGAGGAGAAGGCAAAGGGGCACGCAGAGGAGCAGTGGACGGACGCAGTGACATCCGGTGCGTGCCAGGGACAAGAGGAGGACGCTGACGCGATCCGCGACCACTAGCGCGCTCAGTACGAACAGGCGACACAGGACGAGACGCAGGCTCACGACGCTCAGTAAGACCTCCAGTAGGACCAGCGTAGGGAGAAGGAGCAGGCAAAGGGGAGGCAGGCTGTAGCTGTGGCTGTGACCGGACAGGCTGCGGACCCTCTAAGGGAGGAGGAGGAGGAGGTGTAAGACCAAGAACCTGCTGCAGGAGCGGAACGAAGTACGGTCGGGGCCGCGCGGCGACGCTAGAAACAGCAGGAACAGCACCAGCAGCCCCGGCAGGTGTACCCACTCCAGCAGCACCTCCAGCAGCACCACCAGAAGCTCCAGAACCTCCAGCCGCAGCACCAGGAGCACTGTCAGTCGGACCGCCAACGGCAGGCTCAGCGCCAACACCCTCAACAGGACCAGCTCCAGGAGAACTCTCAGACTCAGCAGCTCCAGCACCCACAGTACGAGCACCGGCGGGGCGCGCAGCAGCAGTACCCTCTGCAGCCGAAGAACCACCAGCACCAGCAGCACGCCTCCAGCGCCTAGCAAACCACTCACGCAGCTCCCGTGGGGAGAGTGGCTCCAGGCTAGACGAAGCACCCCCAGGCACAGCACCTCCAGGCTCAGCACCCCTAGACACAGCACCCCCAGGCACAGCACCCCCAGGCTCAGCACCCCTAGGCTCAGCACCCCCAGGCTCAGCACCTCCAGGCTCAGCACCCCCAGGCACAGCACCCCCAGACTCGGCACCTCCAGGCTCAGCACCCCCAGGCACAGCACCTCCAGGCTCAGCACCCCCAGACTCGGCACCTCCAGGCTCAGCACCCCCAGACTCCGCACCCCCAGGCTCAGCTCCCGCAGCAGCACCAGAGTCACCAGTGACCTCGACAGGCTCGACCGCGTCTACCTGGGACACACCTGAAGGGGCAGGACCCTGAGGGGGGAGGGGGACTACCGGGGGGGGACCTGGTACCAAGAAGAGCGGGGGTGGGGGGAGGGACGGAGTGCGGTAGGGGAAGAGGCGGTAGTAGGGTACCGACTCGTCGAACGTGACGTCCTGGGAGGACAGAACACGTCGAGAGGAGGGGTGGTAAAACTGCCACCCAGGGGCGTCGGGGGGGAAC